GTTTGGAAGGTATAGGAGATGGAGAACATTGTTTATCCTTACCTAACTTGCCCCTGCTCCCTTTGAATTTGTGTGGTCTATTGAACAATCCTGATTGCCATTTCCAGCAGTGAAAGTAGCAAATGTTCTTCTGCCTGCTTATCCAAAGCCACTTACTTTTCAATGATGAATTTTCACACAATTCTTGGTGTCAATAACAAGGTTTATGATAATGTAACAATAACAACTCTTAGTTTCCAGTTTCCACCCACAAAAGGAACATTTCTTAGGCTTAGTCAACTTCGGGTATATAAAATCATTTATTTTGTTCTTAAATTTAACTGCTTTCTAGTTATCGATATGGGTGCTAATGTAACCGGTGCGCTTATATCTTCTCTTACTATTGCATTTCACCTCAACTAGTGAAAACTGATTCATCGTAGAATATGTTAAGTCAATGACTCAACGTTTGTCTCATATCATGATTATACCATTATTATTGAACATTAGTTCTTATTATCAATGTGTAAAAGAACTAAGTTCCTTGTCTACCGTGAAGTTCATGTTGAAGGATTAGAGACATTCGATTATCTGGATAATTTACAGAACAGGGAGATGCGATAACATTTGAAGGAGAAGTGAGTTGATGATTGCCTTTCCCCTCAGTCTGCTCACGCTTTAACTTGGTATACTGTTAACATATTCTTATTTCTGCTTAAAAGGTGGACAAAATATGCCTCAGTACTCCTACAAAAATTGCAATTCTGGATCATGAAAAGAAGAGAACCCTTGTATTACGCAAAGATGGACTTCCCCATGCCAGTAAGGTTTATTTTCTTTGCCATTTTTTGTTGATATTTGTGCTATAGATATGGAGCCTGATACTTGTTATGTTTACGACTTCTATTGATAATCTAAAATACGCAAACAAGAGTACTTCACATTTACAGTCAGAGCCGGAAAATATTATGTTGTTCATTTCCGTTTATAACAGAACTATGGATTATTGTTGGACCATTTCAAGTAGTTGTGTGAACTACTTTCTCTGATAGGTATTGCGAACTCGGGCTTGTGATTCTTGTCAGCTCTTGCAGATATACCGATTTCTTGTACATTAATGAAAGCCATTCTTTGCTTTAATATTCTCATTTCTTTTGTATGCAGTGGTGTGGAATCCCTGGGAAAAAAGGGCAAAGACTAAACCCGATTTTGCAGACGATGAGTACAAATATATACTGTGTGTGGAGGCTCTCTCTATTGTTCCATCCAGCTACTGCAGTGGCCAACTTGATCATCAGAAAGTCCTGGGTAACTGAAGATCCCTTACCGCAATCGTGTATGTACAGGTAATCATGCAGCATAGTTCTTTGTCCTCGATGTGATTCAACGTAATCATGCAGTTGATGTGTTGCAATAGTTGAGTCTATAAATTTGTTTTGTTAGTTACACATGCAGGAATCATGAGGCAACATGTTGTGGATGAATCCTGGACTTTTGTTGGATTAATGCAAATAAGGGCTTAGGACATTGTGGATGATATTGAAGCTTGTTATTTCAGCTATTGATGAGCTTTTGTTTGTCTATGGGCTGTCTTTGGACTTGTCTCATCTCCTGCTTCCGTTTTGTAAGAACTTTCTTTTCTGAATTTGAGTTGGATTTTTTATGTTTTAAATCTTTTTCTTTTATTTTTCTTAATAGTATGGGTGATTACAGTATAGTATTTTTTAAATTTTCTTAACCCATTGAAAACGCACACACATCGTGCAATGCAGTTATTCGAACTCAAAATCTCTATAAATAACGACCTTCCTTTAACTAATAAGGTCTGATGGGTTCTTTTGTTATATTTTCTTTTTTGTTTGAAGGGTTTATGCATAAATTAAATTTACATCGTAATATTACTCATGTAGCCGAGATAAAAAGCGGGATGCAATATTAGATCTTTTAAATAAGATAAGTAGTTAGAATCTTAGAATTAACTCGGTTAGAGTGTTCACTTTATAACGAGTCTATGTAGTATTTATTCATTATTTGATCTAAATCAATATTGATAATTTTGTAGTAATTATAATTAATTATCAGGGATTAATGTAAAATTTTATGTTAAGAGGGAAAAATATCTAAAATAGATTATAAAAAAATACAAATAAAACATAAAGAATTTAAATTTTTTAAGGAAGATGGCCCGATTATTGATTGCAATTACAATCACCAAACTATACCATACATAAATGTAAAAAAAATGGTAAAAAGGTATAGAAAAGTCATACTTTTGAAAAAGAAACAAACTATACCATGCATAAATGTAAAAAAATGGTAAAAAGCCATAGAAGTCATTGTACTTTTGAAAAAGACCCTATGTGCATCATTTCTAAATCAATATTTTTTCTTACAATGAGGTCCTTCAACTCAAAAAATATATCTAATATTACCCTTTAACCGATGTTTTTTGTCGGTGATCGTTATACTACTAGTTTGCCAATTCACAGTACTGATGTGGTGGTCCACGGTGCTGATGTGATAATTCACAATGTTAATGAGGCAGTCTATCTGTCATGTTTGAGTTACCAATTTAGCCAATCTGTCACCCTGGACTACTTTGTTAGCACCATAGACTATCTGTCAGTACTGTGAACTGTCACATCAGCACTGTAACGATCAACGATGAAATTTTTTTTGTTAAAGAGTACCACATTAAATTTATTTTCTGAGTTGGAGGGTCACATTGAGAGAAAAAATACTACAAAAGTCACATTGATTTTTTTTAAAATACAGAGACCTCTGTATTTTTGCCCAAAAAAAAAATTCCCTAAACCTAAAATCATAACCTTTGTTTATTTCACGACTTTCTCCCACGAATGTTCTGATATACTAAAATAGATGGACCAATTTGAAAAAGATAAACCTTACCAAAATCTTTAAAAATTCAAAACCCCTTCTAACCCCTATTCTCACGTTTTTGTGTAGAGGAAATAAAGAGGAAGATCGATGGTAAAGCTCTTTCCACGACTTTAAACTACGATCTTCATCATTTTAATTTAGAAAAAATAACCTCAATAATCGAAAATGGCTTATAATATACGATTTTAACCAACTTTTTTTAGATTTTCCAAAATGACCAACAAATTCGCAACGTGAACTACAATTTCGCAACTCAGTTTCCAATTTCGCAACGCGAATCTGTAAATCGCAACACAGAAGTCAAATTCGTAATGCGATAGTCAAATTCGCAACACAAAAGTCAAATTCGCAACGCGAAAGTCAAATTCGCAACGTGAATAGTAAAAATCGCAATGTGAATAATAAAATCGTAACGTGAATAGTAAAATCACAACGTGAATAGTAAAATCGTAACGAATCTATATGTAAATTATCTCTTATCATCCATTTATAATAATTTGTTGGAAAAGTACATAAATAATTTTTATAAAAAATAGTACACGTGAAAAAATTTATATGTAAATGAACAACAAATCTATTTCATTTGTCAATCTTCATTACAAATTATTCTAAATTCAATTAATTAAAGTTTGAAATTTGAAAGAATCCTTAACTCAGACTAATGAAATACATTTAAAAAATTAAATTTTGAATTATATTAAGAAAAAGCTGATTCCTGTACACATGTAGATAAGTTTTATTTTCCACTTAAAATCCCAGTCTAGAAGCAGAGAGTTACCATTTGAAATTCGTAACGCGATTTTGCGATTTTCTAAATTCACGTTGCGATTTTCCAATTCGCGTTGTGATTTTGACTATTCACGTTGCGATTTTACTATTCATGTTGCGATTTTTACTATTCACGTTATGATTTTTACTATTCACGTTACGATTATACTATTCACGTTGCGAAATTGGAAACTGAGTTGCGAAATTGGAGTTCGCGTTGCGAATTTGTTGGTCATTTTGGCAAATCCAAAAAAAAGTTGGTTAAAATCGTATATTATAAGACATTTTCAGTCACTGAAGTTATTTTCTCTTTAATTTATTCTCCAACCTTTTTGAACATTTTAATTTCATCATCATAATTTGACTCTTATTTTAAATTGATCTTTTGTACAATGTATAGCCGATTAAGTTCTCGTAACTATAATTTGAATTATAGTTCTTGGTTAATGTAATAGGTGATTCGATTCAAAATTTTAAAATAAAAATATATAATCTAATCGATTATAAAAATATTAATATGATTTAAGTTATATTATTTTTGATTTGTTCATTTAATTAATTTAACCAATAAAATAATAAATATTAATAAATCTCATTGGTAAATGGTAAAGGTTTTAGGTTTAGAATTTTGATTGAAATTGGATATTGAATAATTCACATGATTATTCGACTTTTAAGATTAGGTGGTTTTAGGTTTGAAAATAGAGCTAACTTCACCATATATTCTCAAACTATGATCCTTCTTCTAAACTGGACCTTAAACTTTTAAACATTCTAATTCCATCCCCACACTATGACTGTCATTCTAAATTGGTTCCCAAACTAATGAACATCCCAAATTCATCCCCAAACTACAACCCTCATTCTAAATCACTCCTTAACCTTCTGAACATTACAAAAAACTCCCCCAAAATCATCCAAAAGTTTGGGGATGAAATTAGATTCAAAAGATTGGAGACTAATATATAGACTGGGAGTCATAATTTTGGGATGGATTTAGAATGTTTAAAAGTTTAGGGGACCAATTTAGAATGAGAGTAACAATTAAGGGATGAGAATAGAATGTTGAAAAGTTTAGGGACAAATTTAAAATGAGTCACAATTTGAGGACATATAATGTAATTAATTCTTGAAAATATATAAATTTAATATACTTATATAAAGTCGAATAATTCCATTATTGATCTAAAAAGATCGGTAATTGAATATGGATACAGTAACTGTGTATGGAACATTGCATGGCGGATAAATTTAGAGATGAAAGGACCATTTTGCAAACATACTCGAATTTAAATATTAAAAGTGTGAATATCCAAATCTTGTCCCTAATATTTAACCAAATTTAAAAGAAACACCAAACAAGAAACTATGTATAGAACATTTACACGGCGAGAAATTTACACCACAGACATGTTAGAACGTTTCAGAAACTAAATTACTTTCTCCGTTTCTCTTCATCGTCCTCTGTAAATGTCATCGGGTCGCCGACCTTCATTTTTCCGGTATCGGTCTCCGGCTTTCTAGACCGTATAATGCTGCTGGATCGTATCAATGTCCAGCCCCTTCAGCTTCACCACGGACTCCACATCCCCTTTGAGCGTATGCAGCTCTCGAAGCCTGTAAGACATACATCGGAAATCCGTAATTGTGTCGTAAAACATATATCGGGAACGCGTAATCGTGTCGTAAAACGAATGGCTTATAGCTATTAGTGTAGGTGATTCGGCATTGTAAGTTGATGTCTTACCTTGCAACCGCGGCTCTTCTCTTGGCCTGTTCGGCGATCTCCGATAACTCGCAATAGCTGTTCTTTTCATTGAAGAGATTCGAAGCCTCGGGTGGTTGAAGACCGTGCAATGTTCTTTGAGCAAGCGCCCATTGAGCCTCCCTCTCTTCCTTGCCGTAGTCTTTCTTGGTGGTGAAAGCCGTCTGTTACCGAGGCCAGATTAGCAAACACGAAAACTACGTAACGATGTGCATAAATTGAGATATGTGTACCTTGTTTTCGAGTAGGTTGAGCCAAGCTTTTCCGCTTAAGATATATCGAATAGCGAACTTCATTAGATCCAATGGAATGTAAAAAACTATACTGTAAAGCCAAATGACACCAGCCCATCCCCAGCCAATGCCTTTAATCCTTGCAAATCCCCAATCAGCATATACAGCAATCACAGTTGCAACCTGATCAACACAAAGAACCGATCAATTTGATGTCTTATGACTCGGAAATGAGTGGCGGGATAAATGTACATGTACTTACAAGCTGCGCGATGATGAAGGCGGTCATCAATAGCAGTCCGGGACGCTCGACGTGCGACCAGCTACGTGATCTGGTCACGAAGATTAAGGCCTGGCTCACAATGCTTACTTGTAAGTATAAAGCGCCCATCATCTCGTGCTCCGAGTCCCTTATAGACCTGACACCGAATTTGTCCTGCATTTGTCGACCCAAACTGTTATGAAACTGAATCGAAAGAGAATATGAACTGCGAATTTTCAGCACGGCATACCGGGAAGAAGTCGGTCTTATGCATGGCCCAGAAGAATATGACAGTCATCAATGCCAAGTAGCCTCCGAGCACGATTCCAGTAGCGAAAATTTCTTTCAGTTTCCAGCTATCAGGTAAGGGAGATGGCTTGACTCGGTCCTTTGATATTGTCATGATAGTGCCTGGAGTAATATTCGACTTGATCAATGTTGATACTCGAATTCAAGCTGGTTAAACCGTGGAAAACGAGAAGAGTCATGTGCAAGTTAAGTATAAATCCATGTACCATCGTTTAGAATGGCAATGATCAAAACCATAAATGGCGAAAAATCGAACTTCCAGATGAGAGCAATGAACATAAATCCAAACTGCAACAACAGAAACAAAGTATCAGTAAATTTCGGATACGTAATCTATAATTAATTCATATAAAATCATCTTATAAAACCACAATACGGATTGTGATCGAGACTGCATAGATCTGCGAAAGTGAAATACGAGAAGGTCATGCATTGCAAAACATAGTATATAAATCATTAAACATGTTTAAAGGGGAGATCAGTTTACAGTATAGTTCTTCATCCTCTGGAAAATAGCTCTGCTAGTTAACACTGCACTGACAATGACACTCAGCCCCGGTTCTGTAAGAACAATGTCCGAAGCACTTCGTGCAGCATCTGTAGCGTCCGCGACCGCAATACCGATATCCGCCTTTTTTAAAGCAGGAGCATCGTTAACACCATCTCCGGTCATTCCACAAATGTGCTTCCTCTCCTGCAATTTCTTCACAATTTCGTATTTGTGCTCTGCAAGAGCAAGTATCATAAGGTGTTATGTTATTCGAGACCTGAAAGACGAATGAGGAATTCCCGTTCACAATTTCTTCACAATTTCGTATTTGTGCTCTGCAAGAGCAAGTATCATAAGGTGTTATGTTATTCGAGACCTGAAAGACGAATGAGGAATTCCCGTTCACGAATATCCGGGATGCAAAAGAGGGTTACCTGGAAACACGCCGGCAAATCCATCGGCCTTCTCAATCAACTCTTCAACAGGAATGGAAGCTATGTTTGCATCCTTGTCTTGGTCTAGCAAAGAAGCGGATGGATACATGTTGGTTCCCATTCCGAGTCTGCGGCCAGTCTCCTTTGCAATTGCGAGTTGATCACCTGGACAAAGGTACGAAAATATAAGTACGAAACTGCCACGACGAACGATGAACTTGGTTAAAGGATTCAGTTACCAGTGATCATCTTGACATTCACACCAAGATGAAGAGCTCGGCGAATGGTTTCGGCACTGTCATGCCTTGGAGGATCAAACAGAGATAACAAACCAACAAATTGCCATGGAGTACCTGCACTCTCTTTCGATTTTTCAGGCACTTGCTGGAATGTGTAGGAAAATTGTCAAGGGTTAGGGTACTCCAAAAAATTGAGACAGCATAATAGTGAATAGAAGATCATGAGTTTTGGATAAAAAACCTGTCTGGCAACTGCTAATGAACGAAGCCCACGCTCGGCAAACTTATCAATGATCGAATGAACCTTCTTCTTAAAATCTTCTTTTGCATTGCAAAGGTTCAAGATCTGTTGACAGATATAATATGATCAAATGGCACAAACAAGGTAAATTTATGGTATTAATGCAATGTTTATACAGATGGAAAACAAGGTTACCTGCTCGGGAGCTCCTTTGCTGGTTCGATGCCAGTTGCCATTGGCATCAATATAAGTTAAAGCAGTTCTCTTATCCACAGGATTGAAAGGAAAGAAATGCACCTCTTGAATACCAGCTCTTGCCTGTATGTACAACATATTGAACATAAATAATCCCCCTCGATTACAGAATCGAAATCGAGAAGAAATTGTTACATACCTCCTTAGGGTCGGCAAGCATTCCAACAATGGCAGCATCGATTGCATCCTGATTTTCAGTTCTAGAAGCCCTTGCAGCAAGCAACATGACATGATCCTTATCAGCATCCTTTACAAACACCTCAATCAAATTTTTATCGACACTGAGCTTGTTGAGCGTCAATGTTCCTGTCTTATCACTGCAAAGGACATCCATACCAGCCATTTCTTCGATTGCGGTCATACGCTTGGTGATAGCACCCTGCTGAGACAGTCTATGGGATCCAATGGCCATGGTCACGGACAAAACAGTCGGCATAGCAATGGGAATACCGCCGATCAAAAGAACCAAGAGATTGTCAATTCCATCCCTGTACTTGCGGTGTTGAATTGGATACATGACTATGATCTCAACCGCCATACCGACAGCAATCGAGCAAATACAGAAGTTTCCAATAGCAGTGAGCACCTTTTGGAAGTGTCCTACTTGGTTCGTGCTATCCACAAGATGTGCAGCCTTCCCAAAGAAAGTATGCACACCAGTAGCAATAACAACGGCTTCGATTTCACCCTGTTTGCAAGTTGAACCTGAGAAGACTTCATCCCCAGGGTGCTTCGTCACGGGAAGTGATTCTCCGGTCAAGGCAGATTGATCGACCTTTAACGGATCACCTTCGAGAAGACAGGCATCAGCCGGGATGATATCTCCCAGTTTAATGCTAATGATGTCTCCTGGAACCAGAATTGCTGCTTCTTCCTCACTCCATTTGCCATCCCTTAGCACCTTCATTTCACAACGGTATAAATTCAAGATCAATTTCATTAGATTCAAAAACAAAAACATAACAATATCTCTTAGCCATTTACATCATTATATTCAATTTCAACATATTTATTTCGAAGAAAATGTACTATAATTACCTTAGTTTTGGGAGCAAGACCGGCCATAAGTGCAGCAGCTGCATTCCCGGCATTGTTTTCTTCAATAAAACTAATGGTAGAGTTGATGACTAACAAACAAACGATACCGACAAAATCTTACCAATCTGGCGGCTTGCCCTCGCCGTTAGCCAAAGCAATGGCCATAATTGCAGCAGCTTCCATGACCCATGACAGAGGATTCCACATGAACCCCAAAAACTTGAGGATCTTGCTCTCCTGTTCGTTTTAAAAAATATAATCCAACGTTATTTTTATTGTGATTACGGACATAAATGAATGTTACCAAATATCAAACAAACTAAATCAAGTGTTATTGGTAACTATAGTAATGAAACCTTTTTCTCTTCTAGCTTGTTGGGGCCAAAAATCTGCAGCCTGTTGGCTCCTTCTTCTGAACTCAGTCCTTCTCTGGAGCATTTCAGCTGCTCGAAAACTTCCTCAATCGGGATTTTTTCCTATATACAAAGTAATTTCAATGACATTTAGATCACCACTTGTTGTTCATTGTTACAGTTCTTTGAAATATATATTGCATAGAATCATTCAAATAATATTAAAAAATCATTTTTGAAAATATTATTTTCACAAGAAAACCTAGCCCTTTAGATTTCAATTTTTTATTTTATTATTTTTTAATAATTTAAAGTAATTCTAAGATAGTATTATTCATAACGTTTTTATCTATCAACTATATATATATATATATATATATTACCTACATAATAAATTGAATCTGAATCTTTGTAGTAAAACAATATTTCCATTAACGTTAATGAAGGAGATGGGAATTTTTTAATTTCTAAAGAGAGAGAAAGGGAAAAGTGGTAAAGTGCCTTAAAATTTCCAAAATAATAAAACAAACATCTCGCTTTCAAATGAAAGCACAAACAGAAAAACACTTTATTCAGTACTAGGAAAAGATCAAAACGTAGCCAACTCCGTCACTGTCATGTCATCTCCTCGTTTTCCACATTTTAAATCAGTTTGTTTCTTATAGATTACTTGTGTGCTTGTTTGGCTAATGTGAAAATAAAAACACAAAAAATCATACAAGTATATAGATAAATTATATAATATTTAGAACTATATGAATACAACGTAAACTATTAGAGCAAACTTGAACTATTTTTCAACTAATCAATCTCCGTTCAAATTATAAATACACTCTTCAATAATTAGATAATATATTATGTTTTTCAGTTTTGTTAGAATTTGAATGAATTTAAAATATTTATTTTCAATATATGTGTATATAATAACATTTTTAATCTTAACTGAATTATATTTTTCAGATTATAACGAACAAAAGAGGCCTTTGACTATCAAATAGAGTAACAGCTAAAATTCGTCTAGTTTCCTTCTTTATCGGTATAGCGAAGTCAAAAACATTTCTCGGGAAAGTGACGAGAAAAATCCACTAATCTCCATTCCAGATCTCATAAGGAAAAAGAAAACACGTTGACAAACTACAGAAGACGATTCGTTTCAATAGTCGATATAAGAAAACATTGAAGACAACAAAAAAAACACAAGAAAGTGAATAGAATTTCACCAGATCAACAGTCTCGTTCCTGATCTCTTCAAGGCTGATTCCTTTACTGCTGGCCATGTTTAAGTCTGCACGGCGATCACTACCACCGTCAACGGCGGCTCAGAGAAAAGAGTACTTCAAGTAAAAAGAGAGAGAGAGATAGATTTCAGATTCACAAGAATTATGAAATAAATGAGACTTTCAGATTCCCGAGAAACAAACAGAAAATAAAAGAGAGAGAGATTTCGAATGTGCTTCGTAAAACTGAAAGGCTAAGCATTTTATATACACTTCAACAGAGAAGCTGAGACTTTGTATAATTCTATTTTAATTAATATAATGATATATTTTAATTAAAGACTTCCTTATTTAAACTTGTTATAATTATAATAAAAATATTATTTATATTATAGGATATATTACAAATTTCATCACTGAACTTTGTCTCTTATTTTAATCACTGAACTTTAAAAGTTTTCAATTCCTCATTGAATTTAATATATTGGGTTTTTTTATCACTGAATTTTATTTTCTCTCCTATTTTGGTCCCTCTTCGTTAAATAATTAACGACATTAAAAATAATGTCATTTTAGAAAAATAAAAATTTCACCCAAACGACATCGTTTTGCATATATATAACTCATTTTAATGTCGTTAATTATTTAAAGAACGAGTGACAAAAAAACTCAATGTATTAAGTCGGTGAGGAAATTGAAAAGATTTAAAGTACAATGAGTAAAATAGGAGAGAAAGAGTAAAGTTCAATCACCAATTTACCCAATTATGTAATTAGAGTTATCTGATTTTAATAAATTTTATCCATTGAAGTTGTATTCTATTATCTATAAATTTTGATTTTTCAATATCACATAATTAAAATTATAAGATAATATTATTTAAATTAATTATAATTATAATTATAATTATAATATATTAATTATTAATATTATTAATTATTAGTTAATCATAAATATTATATTTTTATGATTTTTCTATATATAATGGGTAAATTACACATTTAGAACATAAACTATCAGTTTTGATCCATTTTAGTATCTAAACTTTCAATTTTTTCAAAAGCATACCTAACGTTTAGTGTTTACTTCATTTTAATACCCCACCATTAAAAACTTAACGCGTTTAGTACCTAAACTATCATTTTTTGCTTATTTTAGTACCTAAACTTTCAATTTTTCAAAACTTAACGATAAATTTTGAACGATGTACTAAAATGAAACAACAACTGAAGTTTTTAATTTGGGTACTAAAATGAAACAAAAACTAAACTTAGGTATGATCTTGAAAAAATTGAAATTTTAAGTACTAAAATAGACCAAAACTAATAGTTTAGATACTAAAAGTATAATTTACCCATATATAGATTAAGTGATACCCTTCCATCATGCCTTCACCGGTCCACTTGCTATGTTTATCTTATTCTACTGATATGTATCAGTTAAAGATGATAATTTCATTTTTATTTTTTTATATTAGTACAATAAATATATTTTGATATATTATTTTGAAATTTTAATTTTATATGATTGGTTTTAAAAATATTTAAATCTAAATTCATTTATATTCAAATATATTATCTAAAAATTAAACTCAATAGTCCCAAATGATTATCTAAATCCAAACTCAAATAAATAATTATATTCAAACTCAATTATACATATTAAAATTTATACATAAAATACAATTTAATAAAAAATAATAGTTTGAATAAATTTAAACAAATAAATCTCCTGAAAACAAATTATGTGATAAATTTATTTAACCAACGATTTGGTTTAAGTAGTAAGCTACTTGATATTGCTTAAGCAGGTACTGAGTTCGAGTTTTATGTATGCAGAAAATCTCCGCTGGGAGACTCACTCACCAAAACAAGATGTGCGATATGAGTATATTTTTCACTGAAGAAAAAAAATAAAAAGTTAATCTCAACCGTCTATAACAGTTCAAAATCTGTATAAAACTAAAAGAGTTTTAGTGTATGTAAATCTTAATTTATTTTTTCATATTATTTTATAAATAACAATTTATTATCGGTAATTATTTAATTATCGGATATATTTTTTAAGTAAAATGAATTGGTGATAAATATACTATCAAAAGAAAAATAAAACGTAACAAAAAAGAAAAATAAAACGTAACAAAAAAAATAACAAAAAAAATAACAGGAGTGCATGATCTATTTGACCTTTTGTTATTGCCTTCTTTTTTATTTATTTTTTGTTGCGCTTCCGATTCCAAGACTTCGCTTTAACTAATCTGAATCCATCTGTATTGCACACCTGATTTTGGTGGGTTAGTCTCTCAACAAAAATTTTTTGCGTATAAAAAGACTCGAACATAAAATATTACTTAAATAATAACAAGTTTAAAAGACATCGAGTTTAAGTCATTGTGTATGCAATGAATGCGGACTGTTGAATCTCCTTAAAAGGCAATCCAACTTTTAATATACTTTTGAATTAATTATAAAGGTGCATGTGTGTAGATTTATTTTGTATAATTAATTGAGCTATTTTCTCACATAATTATTTTTTAAAATTGATAAATCAAATTTTTTAAGTAGATGTATTGAAAGAAATAATTGTGACTGTTGAAAAATTTAAATTCTCATATAATTGAAATGTTTTTATATTTTATATTAATGATTTAATTTCGCATTCATTAAATTTCTAATATAACTTATTAGAGATTCGTATTATCCCACATAAAATAATATGACCGTCCCTCGTTACCATACAAACCTAATTATATATATATATATATATATATATTATTGAATAAGTTTAATTCGATTGACATATCGTTGATACAATATATTAAAATTATATAATTTCTTTAAGTCAGTTGAATCTAATACTAAGTAATAATATAATACTCGTATCGAATTTAAATCCTAACATTCAACCAATTCCGTCATAAAAGATATGAAAGTTCGTGTGCTATTTTTTAAAATGAGGTCTCTAAAATATTTTATAATAAAAAATTATAAAATACCAAAATTTTCGTAATATAATTATTACAAATGAAAATATACCAAACATATGAAATTAAGTTTTCTTCACTGAATTTTTCCTTGCGAGTGTCTACCGTAGTTAAAATAAAATTTTTGGGGCTAAAAGACATAAGAAGTCCATGTACTTTTGAAAAACCAATGTGGCCCCAATATTATTTGTTTTTCTTAATGCGGCCCACAACTCAAAAAAAAAAAAACAAACCCAAAGTGGTCTTTTATTAACGTTTTTCATCGTTTGACTGTTACGGTGTTGACGTGGTAGTTTACGGTACTGATGTGGCGGTCCAATGTACTAATGTGGCAATCCAACTATTATGTTTGAGATACCAATTTAGCTCATCTGCCATGTTATCAACCTCAATAGACCGTCACATCAATACCGTGAACTGCCACATCAGTATTATAACATTTAACAACGAAAAACATTGGTCAAAGGACCACATTATAAACAAAGAACAACTTGTGGATAAGTTGGCATTGGAAAGGGAAACTCTTAGTGTCCCTAATTGTTCCACTTTTTGTGCTTTCAATTTAATTAAACAATAATTAACAAGTGTTTTATTTTTGACCCAAACCCATAAAATAAAATTAAAGTCTTTTCGAAGCACTATAGGGCTAAAAATAAGCACGTCATGCATGTCTTATTTGTCCCTCTAGATGGTAAATTAATTCACTAGTGTTTATATATTATTCTTTTATGCTGTAATTGTATTTATTTTTTAATTATTTATAATCTATTAATTCACTAGTGTTTATATTATTCTTTTATGATGTAGTTCTATTTATTTATTTTTAATTATTTATAATAGATTAATTTAGATAAAACATTATAGAGATATATTACGAGGATGGATCATAAATTCAATATTCATCATTTTCAACATCAAAATTTAAACTCTATTCATACTTAAAAAACTATCGTCTCATCTAGGAATAGACATTTAATATGAATTTAATGGGTTTTGACATGACGCGATCCTATAATAGTGAGGTTTTTTTTGTTGAAAATTTGGATTTAAGTTGGGTCGACTTTTTTTAAGAAAATATCGGGTTGAGTTCATGTTTAGGTAAAAATATATAACGTAACTTGAAAATGTTAATATTCATATTGAAAATGTTAATATTCATGTTTCTCTTTTTAGTTAAGTCCCTAATTTTCTAATAAAAATAAGAATATGTATTAATTGTATCGAGTGAAGTTGGGTATGAGTCTTTACCTTAAAATTGTATCAAATTTTGGGTCGGGTGGAGTTTCCCTAAACTCAGGTCGAATCAAGCGATTGGTGGGGACATGTTATACTCGATTCGAATTCAGATGGACAAAAACCCAACTCTATCTGACCCATGATCATACTTAATCTCCTCGTGCTAGATAATTTAGTTTTAAATTTTTTATATACATGACTAGTAAAATTCATCTTATGATTATGTTTATACATTTTCTAAAAAATACAATTTCTAAAATCATTTATCATCCTCTAATATCCAAATCCAAAATTATTATTTGGTTTAACGTGTTAAATTTCAGGGTAAAGTACACCAATAGTCTCCGACTATAGAATATTATTTTATTAAGTCTCTTAACTATTAAAAGTTATAAAATGATTATCAATCCGTATATATATAACTTAAAAGTTACGATACTTGGGAATCATTTGTGTACTCTATCCTGAATTTTACGACTTCTTAAATATTATAAACAAAATAATTTAAATCGAGTTAAGATTCGATCGAATTATATTATTACAAAATTAATTATGAAATAATTGTTTATTATTCCTTTCAAATGCCAACCATTTTGCCCTAGAAAAATGTCAATAATTATCATTTATTATTTTCCCCAGCGTGGGCTGTGAGCTTGCACTCACACTTGCTGCTGCTTAATTGGAAATTGAGAATATTTTTTTCTCATAATTTTTTAAGGAAGAAAAGTCAAAATATTAACCCAACTGGGATTTATTATTATTAATTATTATTATTAATAATAAATTTATTATATACTTATTGATGAGATCCAATGATAGAACCAATAGGTTGACTTCATGTTGCTGAAATAATTGGATGTGTCGTTTAGTATATACATTAATTTATTTAATTATTTAATTTGCCGCAAATTCTTCTTTC